TATGGTTGACTACAGAGGACCTGTCAGAAATCCTTGGAGGAGTAGCAAGTTCATTTGGCTTTGAAACAGCTTCTTTAAAACAGATCAGACCGCTCCATGCTATCACTGCCTAAAATCCTCTCATAAATCCAGCTCTGATATTTAAGTTGCACTACAGCTCCACTGACGGCTTTGTTGGGCGGCCACTTATTTGCAAGTGAAAATAAGTGTATAATATCACAATCGTTTTATTTCTGTTTCAGTCTTACAATTGAGAGCAGAAAATTAGGGTTAACACGGGTGTTTCCTTTCATAGATGAAAACCCTAAAGACGGATTCATGTCTGAAGTTGTCAGTTTAAGAGAAGGTTTATTCCCTCAAAGGTACATTAGTTTACAGAAACATGAAGCTGAGTGATTTCAGTTGGAGCTGCTGTCAGAGATCCTGATAATGTTTTCTCAGAATGATCAGAGTCGACGATGAGGAGACATCCTGATAATAACTCATCGTTTATTTCTTTACTCTGACAGAAACTCCACTCACTGTCCTTTAACTCACTACAACACTCAGAGCTGACCAACCATCAGACTCATGATGCTGTTTAGAAGAAGGATCCCACACGTCTCAGCTTTCTGCCCAGTCTGTTCAGAGTCCTGATCCTTAATACAGTTTGAATTTGAGGAGACAAAACATTAGGGACACTTAAACCAGACGCTCCACGATCATCATTTTGGTACAGACAGCTGTCTGCTCATTGTGAACCATAACTATAAAACCTAACCAACACTTGATTCTCACAACATGAGGACTTTATTGTCATTGTACTAAACTACCACAAAACTTTTTGGACTTTGCTCACTTTATTCTGGCAATATAGGCTTACTACGACTTTTTCTTGTTGGCAAATGATCTTATTACCACTTTATTTTCTTTAAAAAAAAAGAAAAAAAACTAAATAAATCTTAATTTCTGTAATGTCCCTCATACTCTGTTGTACATAAGAAACGCTGGCTTTGTTTAGCATTACTTTGCTAATATCAGATTGTGTTACCAAAAAAACAAAAAAAAAAACAAAGAAAAACTAATGATTTCAGAGCTGAACTATTAACTTTAGTTATTTAGATAAAATAACTAAAATCATCACCACCTCATCCCTTCAAACACATGAATAATTGCATCCATTATAGATGATACCATCTTTGTTTTATAAATCATGGATTATTATGAATTATCATTAATATTAAAGCACCATGGAAATTCTCATTTTAAAATTTTCAAGGCACTAAATTCACACATTTTTCTCCAGACCACATTCAGGGAGATTGGCCCAGTTTTACTGTTTATTAAATATGTATTGTGAAAATAAACATGATTTTACAGTTTTTTATATGCAACTCAAACTGTGCAGACATTGAACCATTTTTAAAGGTAAACAACATATTCTGAAAATAAGTGGAGCTTTCCTTAAAGACCCACTCCAATGAAAATCATGCATTTCTTATTGTCTACATGTTCATATGGCATTTTTTCTGATGCTACAGGACTAACCTGTTAAATAAAAGCTAAATAAAATAAAATAAAATAAAATAAAATAAAATATTATGAGTAAGTGTGAAATTGCATTTTTGAGTATTTCTGTATTCAAATCTCAGTGAATCTCTGGCAGACCCAAATGGCAGGTTCAGATTTTATTTCATCATCTGGAGGATTTGGCCATATGTGGGTTTTCTGGCCAACAGCCCTGTGTGGATCTAGTGACAAACTCTGAACCACTTTTTCCAGACTGAGTCCATTCCCCTAGATTTCTCTTGTTGTAAAATTTCTTAAAGTGAAACATGATTCGCTGGAGTCACCCTGACAGGAACTTACTCAAAACTGAATAAATTTTTAGGGCCTTACACTTGAAAACTGACTAAAATGAAGTAGTCTATCAACAAATGTCCTGATGCAGCCAATGCTCAAGTCTAAGATGAGACATGAAGCCTGGACAACATGACACAGTTAAGGTTTCTGGTCAAGTCCTGGACTGGAGGTCTACATAACTGATGCATAGTGACATAAAAAGAAACCAATTTTCTCAGAGTTACAGTTTGTGTTTAGAGAAATGGCAGCAGAGGATCTCAGAGTCTGCTCTGTCTGCATGTTACACACTATGTGAGGAGCAAAGACAGAGCAGAGCAAAGAGTTCAAATGAAAGTAAACGGAGCAAAGTTAGAAACTTAATGGAGTTCAGGGAGAGCAGAGACTTTTCCTCCTCCAAAACAAACCAACTAAGTGGTGACACCAGAGAGGCTAGAGTCACTGTGATCCACTTTTTTCCATTTCTCTGAGCTGCATCCTCTCTGAGTGCTCCAAGCTGTTTTTTTTTTCTTTCTGACCTCAGGCTGGAGGAGCAGAAAGCATCCTTTCTAGCAGTTGAAGTTTATCTTGATCCAAAAACTCCTCAAGGGCAAACCAAAACATTCAAGTGAGATGTGCTGAGAGCAGCAGGTGTCTGTGCACCATGAGTGAATGATCGAGGCATGTCGGCAGAAGAGAATCCCCTGAATAGAGAAGCTCATAATTCACATCACAGAGAGCTGTGTAGGACATGTGAGTCTCTCCCTTTATTTCTATATAGGTCCACTCAAATATCTGCAGCCTGTAGCCAGCTGCACCTGAATGCTTTGGTTTAGGGCTGGGAGTGGTTTACAGCACTAGCACAAAATATTATACCTCATTTACGGTGACCTAAGCTAATGACAAAGAATACTTATTACACCCATTTTTTAGGAGACATTCATCAGCACTGGTACAGCTGATTGTCATTAGATTTTACATAGAGCCATCATCTGAATGACGAGTTTCTGTTGATTATGAAGCTGTAGTTGAGAAATTATCTCACAGTCTTTATTAAACAGGATTTCAGCAGTTCTAGGGGTCCTTCTTTATGTTTTGTCCTTTCCTGAGGCCCCAAATATTTTCAGTGGTGACAAGTCTGGAGTGCAGACGGACTAGTTTAACACCCAGGGCTCTATTTTCGTGCCTTGCCGGAGACGTGCTGCAGGCGCGGTGTAAGTCAGGTCCGCCTGGCCGACAAGGCGTTCCCAAGCACAATTTGGTATTTTGGTGAGCAGCGCAGCCCGGCGTAAGTATCCCCCCTCCCTAACTCAGCTCCTCCCAGCGGCGTAAGTCGTAGCGAGGGAGGACTTCGGTTCGCCTCCGTGCGCCTCAGTCCATGAAAATACCAAACTGGCTGTACGCTGGGCTCTGCCAGATGAAAATACGACTGCGCGGGGTCCGCCACCCTCCGCCGCCCCACCGGCGTACCGGAAATAGAGCCCCCAGACTCCTCTTAGATGAAGTTTAGTATTATGTGCAGAATGTGGTCTGTTGTTGTCTTGCTGAAGTGTGCAAGGCTAAAGAAGTCAGTGTCTGGTTGGCAGCATATGTTGCTCCACAACATTTTCCAGCATTATTAGTGCCTTCTTAGATGTGGAGCTACCCATGCCATGGCTACTTATGCATCCCCATATCAGCAGCGATTCTGGTTTCTAGACTGAGCACTAATCTCAGACTTGGTGGTCCCTCATCCAGCATCCATGGTTACCAAAAAGGATGTCATGGTTGGATTCATAAGACCACTGGCCAGTTTTTCCTTGTTTTATGGATTTTTCTACAGATCATCTAAATCTTACAATGATTCTAAAAAGTAAATAAAATCCAGTCTTCAAAACACACACACACACACACACACACACACACACACACACACACACACACACACACACACACACACACACCTGGCCAGGTGTGTGTATTCATTCTTCCTCATTGAGACTACAGTACGGAGGCAGTGGGAAACACATATAAAACTTCACTCCAACCACTTTTCATTCTGCAAAAAAGATTAATCAGGATAATTCATTTTGACTTGGTGGAGCATAAAATATCTCAAGTATTATGTAAAGCAAGGAATTATGTGAACAAAAAAAAGAGATTCACAAGATGTTTTATTAAAGTGAGGGAGGTTATAGAGGGAAGTCCAAAGGTTAGCAGTGTTTGCACAACAATGGAAAGTTTCTGTGTTACCATCTGTGGAGTTAAACAGTGGAACAGATTGAGTACAGATCTTCAAACCATTTCAAGAATACTTCTGTGTAAAAAGGGTACATAAAGTGATAATTCCTCAGAGGTACTGTATGTTGATTAAAAAAATTACCACAAGGTGTTTGCTTGTTATTTGGAGTGTTGCAGGATAGCACAGTGGTGTAGTGATTAGCACTGTGGCCTCACAGCAAGGAGGTCCTGGGTTTGTATCTGGGTCAGGGCATTTCTGTGTGGAGTTTGCATGTTCTACATGTGTCTGCGTGGGTTTACTCCGGGTACTCTGGTTTCCTCCCACATCCCAAAGACATGCAGAAGTGGGGTTAGGTTAATTGATCACTTTACATTGCCCTTAGGTGTGAATGTGTGTGTGGATGGATGTTTGTCTTTATATGTCAGCCCTTCGATGAACTGACGACTTGTCCAGGGTGTCCCCTGTCTCGCCCCAAGATGCTGAGATAGGCTCCAGCCCCCCCATGACCCCCCAAGGGATAAGCGGTAGAAAATGGACGGATGGATGTTGCAGGGTATTGTACATATATTCATGAAGGAGGTATGTTAAGTGTAAAAATAATTATTGTATGTTTTCTGTGTGATTAATATTTTGTTTATTCACATTACAGGTTTCAAAAGTGTTGGTTGATTTGAGAAAGTTATGATTATAGTATTGAAAAATTTAAAGGATTAGATAAGTTTAAACTTCTTCCCACTTCTTTTCCCTCATAAAAAACTAAGGTGCTTAAGAATTTCCAGATGCAAATACTGTTTGTTTTCATTTCTTGATGTTTACTTATTTTTATTTTTTAACTGTTTCTAAGTTGTCATTTACATGATCAAAATCAACAAAGAAGTCAAATCTAATCAATACTCTGTAGTTTATGATGAAATTATGATGCAGCCTCTGCTACATGTGGGGTTGCACCGCTGTGGCAGCTTCATCGGGTTATTGTTGCCATCGGTCCTGTCAGGCTGACCTTCCAGCATGTGAGGGTATCCTGCAGGGCTTCAGGGTTGTGTTCTTCTGTAGGATCTTGGGAAAAATTCTTGGTATGGAGACAGGAACTCTCATGAAATGCACAGTAGCACTCATAAGGCTCACACGTCCAGCTGGACCACATGGTCTGCATGAAGTAGTAGGACACTTCTGTGAGCCGTGCCTTGGGGCTGCCTCTGTCTTCAGTGTGCAGTCTCAGTATCACTTCAGCTGCAACGTAATTGGGACAGCTGGGAGACTGTACAAAGCCGCAATGTTCCACAGCTGCATCAGGGACCTTGTCCTCGGCCACTGTCTCTGCCATTTCACTCCTTTTTGTTTCTTTTTTTCCTCACAGCACAGCACGAGTGCATTAAGTTTGCAACATGTCATGTTTTGGTATAGAAGGCTATGGAGCCTTCATGTTCTAGGTTACAGCATACAGTCTGACACACTATTGAAGCCATTTTGTATTTAAAAATACAATTTATGATTAACGCCTTTTTGTCTGGTTAAATGAAAGCTACAAGCTACAAGCATCACACTCTCAGTCTCTGATCATCATCTCTGGAGACTTTAATCATGCATCGCTCTCCTCCACTCTCCCTACCTTCAGCCAGTATGTGAATTGCCCAATGAGAGACAATAAAACTTTGGACTTACTGTACGCAAACACCAAGGATGCATACACCCCCCCCCCCCTTCCCCCGCTGGGCCGCTCAGATCACAACCTGGTGAGTCTGCAGCCCATTTACATATGGTGAAGAAACAACCCCCCACCATCAGGTATGTTAAGAGGTGGTCTGAGGAGGCCACTGAGGCGCTGCAGGACTGTTTTGAGCCCACAGACTGGGATGTACTGTGCGGCCCACATGGTGATGACATAGACACCATGACAGATTGTATCACGGACTATATTAACTTCTGTGTTGAGAACACCGTACCCACCAGGAAAGTATGGTGTTTCTCCAACAGCAAACCCTGGGTGACCCCGGAACTTAAAGTCCTCCTTAAGGAGAAGAGGAGGTTCTTTAAATCCGGGGACAAGGAGGAGCTGAGGAGGGTGAAGAAGGAGCTGAAGAAGAAGATCAGAGAGGGAAAGGCCAGCTACAAGACCAACATGGAAAACCTTCTGCAACAGAACAACACGAGGGAGGTCTGGAGAGGCCCGAAATCCATCTCAGGTCATAGCAGGGGCCATGAGAGGGGACCTGAAGCAGGAAACAGGGAGTGGGCCAACAAGCTGAATCTGTTCTTCAATAGATTTGACTCTGCTCCCACTCATCCCCCGACTCATCAAACCAACGACCCGTCTGCTGCTTCTTCTTCACACCACCTCAGTCCCATGGCACCAGCATCATCAACCCCCCTCCACTCATCCTCCACCACCCCCTCCAGCACCACCCCCAGCCTCTCCATAACAGCTGACCAGGTGAGAAGTGAGCTGAGGAAGATGAAGCCAAGGAAAGCCACGGGTCCTGACGGCATCAGCTCCAGACTCCTGAAGGACTGTGCAGACCAGCTCTGTGAGGTGCTACTGCACATCTTCAGCTTGAGCCTGAGTCTGGAGAGGGTCCAAACACTGTGGAAGACTTCCTGCGTGATTCCTGTCCCCAAGACAGCACATCCCAGGGAGCCCAACCACTTCAGACCTGTGGCCCTCACTTCTCACCTGATGAAGACTCTGGAGAGGATCGTGCTGAGGAACCTCCGCCCCCTGGTGAGCTCTCATCTGGATCCTCTGCAGTTTGCGTACCAGCCGAACATCGGGGTGGATGACGCAGTCATCTACCTGCTGCAGAGGTCCATGGCTCACTTGGAGAACACCAGCAGCACTGTGAGGGTCATGTTTTTTGACTTCTCCAGTGCTTTCAACACCAACCAGCCTTCACTGCTCAGGGGGAAGCTCGAGAGGGCGGGAGTGGACTGTCACCTAGCCGCATGGACCGTGGACTACCTCACCGACAGACCACAGTTTGTGAGGCTTCAGAACTGTGTGTTGGACATGGTGGTCTGCAGCACGGGGGCTCCACAGGGGACAGTGCTCTCCCCCTTCCTCTTCACCCTGTACACCTCTGACTTCAGCTACAACTCTGGGAGCTGTCACCTCCAGAAGTTCCCTGATGACACAGCCATCGTCGGATGTGTATCGTCAGGGGATGAGCGGGAATACAGGACTGTCATCACTGACTTTGTCAACTGGTGTGGCACAAACCACCTCCAGCTCAACGCCAGTAAGACAAAGGAGATGGTTGTGGATTTCCGCAGGAGGAGGTCACCTCAGACTGTTCCAGTGAACATCCAGGGTCTGGACATCGAGATGGTGGAGTCCTACAGATTCCTGGGTGTCCACCTCAACAACAAACTGGACTGGTCAACCACCACAGACGTCCTGTACAAGAAGGGCCAAAGTCGTCTCCACCTGCTGAGGAGACTGAGGTCCTTTGGAGTGTGCAGGACTCTGCTCAGGACTTTCTATGACTCTGTGGTAGCATCTGCACTTTTCTATGCAGTGGTCTGCTGGTGGGCAGGGAGCAACGAGAGGGACAGGAAGAGACTGAAAAGACTGGTCAGGAGGGCCAGTTCTGTCCTGGACTGTTCTTTGGACTCCCTGGAGGAGGTGGGTGAGAGGAGGATGTTAACAAAGCTTGTATCCATCATGGACAATCTCTCTCACCCACTGCACCAGACTGTGGGGGCTTTAAGCAGCTCCTTCAGCAGCAGACTTAGACTCCCACCTTGCAAGACGGAGCGCTACCGCAGGTCATTCCTCCCTTCTGCAATAAGACTTTACAACGAACTGCAATAAAACTGGACTCACACCACCACTTTTTTCTGGCATTTAAATTGTGTATATTGTAGATAGTTTTATTTTTCTTCTCCCTTTTTCCTTTTTCTATTTTTTTTCTTAATTATAACATTTATTTAAGTTCTTAATATTAGGATCTTTATTTTTATAACTGCATTTTTGCACTCTTTGTCTGTGATGCTGCTGTGACAAAAAAAATTCCCCCATGGGGGATCAATAAAGGAATATTCTATTCTATTCTAAAAGAAGAGTTGATTTATCAGTTAATATTTCTGACATCATTATTCTAATCACATAATTATGGACACATGTCTCAGCTGATGGTGTCAGTCTACCAGTATTGGACAGGTAAAGGTTTTATAGGTTTTATTGACAGGTTTTACACTGTTTTTAATTACACATTTACACTTTACTTGTTTCTTAATTAAAGCAGAACTTTAACTATCTTCGAAATTGAAAATCAATTTTCAAGGGGGTTTTGTGAACCTTTTCTACTTTAATGTTTGGAAATAAACCCTTCAAACTTTTAAATTGGCTGTTTTTTGGATTGTGTCCTAATGCCACAGGCTGTTCATCATACATGGCTTACAATGCCGCGACACACTCTTTGTGTTGTATTCTTAAGGTAGTTGTAAATAATGGAAGAGATTTGTCAAGCTCAAACATTTTCTTTGGTAACCTGTTTTCTCTACAGAACGCATTGTTCTGCTGTTTGTCTGAGTTTTTTAAATCCATACCATCTCCAATAGGTTGAGCCAGGAGAGAGAAGCAGCCGAACTGGTGGCTCTAAATGTTACTGTCGTGCTGTTTACCTCGTTTGAAAGTTTGTCAAGAATTCAATGAGTGAATAAATAAAACACCCACTGACCTTAGTGTCTCATATATGTATCAGTGTACTGAAGGCAAAACTGGAGGAAATACCTGCTGCCTTGACACAGGTTTAGCAGCTTAAAGGAAACAGTGAAGTCAGAGGCTGACAGGCTGCCATGATGGAGACGCTGGATCAGTGCAGGAGTCAGGAGCATAAGCTGTGCCAGTCTGGTTGGCAGCTCTTCAGGCAACAATTGCCAGGACTCTGAGACCAAACCAGATGAGCCAGGGTGATTTCAGGGCACTCAGCTTTCCACAGGAGGAGACAGAGCTTTTCTTCATTATTCATACCACCCAGGACTGTGATCTCCTTTCCTTTGAGTATCTCATGACAGGAACAAATGACACATTAACCAGCTTGCACTTAGTGGCTGCCCTCCCAGAAGTAAAAGAATGATGAGGATGTGGTTCTTAGGCAGCTTTTGTTAATGGTGGTGGTCTGGGTGAAGAGCAGGGGTCCATATATTGTGGTGTGGACTGCAATAAAGTGACAAACCATCCGTCCTTATCTGTAAACATCAAATGATTGTCACATTCAGTTTTCACTCTCATGTTGACGAGGCTGCTCTCAGGAGTCAAGCCTGGCCATTTTAGTTGATTTTCAAAAACTGAGGTGGGAAGATATGTTGGTTGAGGAAGACTAAAAATCATCTTTAAAAGTTAAAAGAGCCAAGTGATCTGAGACAGCCAAATTCCTTAGAGTAGCATTTATGCACAGGTTGCTTAACTGAGAAAGAGAATACATCCGTATTTTGCTTCTACATGGTAACATGGGTCATAGACGACCCCAGCAAGATCATACAGCCTTTGGAGACTTGGTGGACAGAGATCAGCAGGCTCACCTTTATAGCTGAATGAGGTGAACCTTCCACCTGTTTCAGGGTGCAGATTGTACGTATCGTTTAAATTAACTGGTTCTTCTTATGTTACATTCAGTTTGGGTGCTGGTGCAGTTACCATTGTTTCCATTTAGATTTGGATTGGGGTGAGGTGATGTCATGCATGGTTGTCAGGTACTGTCCTTCGCAAACAGCTTATTTATTTTCACTGCTATCATGACAGCCAAAACAATAACTGATGTTTCAGAAAGAGGAGTATATTATACCACCATAAAACTGTAGGATGGGAGCAGAACTGCTGATGTGAGGGCACCACTGGCCTAGCTGTGCATGTGTGCCCCACGTACGCTCACAAGACTAAGGTCATGCTGTTTTCAAACACTTAACCTAAGCCCTTAAACGTGCCTTCAATCTGGACTTCTTCGAGTTCTCAGACTGAGTTTGTTTTGAGCAACAGATATCTTGGTTTTTTGATTGATAAGTCCTTGACTTTTCCTTCTCACTTTTAGGAGTTGGTAAAAAGACTAAAACTGAGGCTAGGTTTTTATTTTAGGATCAGGTCCAGCTTGTCTGACTTGACTTGACTTAGGTCGCAACGCGGCGAGAGTAAACATGGTTGCGCCAAACGTCACAATCCTTCATCAGTGAAGCTAGCTCGCTGGCACTCTTCGCTCCAGTATCCTTCTTTAGGGTATCCACATACGATGTTCGTGGCCGCCCTCTATTTCTGTGGCCGTGCTTTGGCTCCCATAGCAAGACTTTCTGGGTGCTCAGCTCAGGGTGGCGGTGACAGTGTCCTGCAAGCTGGAGTCTCTTGGCTGCTATCTTGTCAGCGACTGCGGGCAGTTCGCCGTAAAGCACTTCATTGGTTGTGTGTGAGCTCCAGTGTACATTTAGGACCCTGCGTAGCATGCGTGTGTAGGTACCATTGAGGGACTTCTCCATTGCATTATTCAATGCCCAACTCTCGCACCCGTATATGAGGATTGACTCGACCGTGGCGACGAAGAAACGCTTCTTCAGACCTGGATTCATGTTGGACTTCCATATCCTGTCCATATCATTGAGGACTTTCCAGGCCAACCCCTTTCTGACTTTGATGTCCTTCAGGGATTCATCTACCCAGGATCCAAGGTACTTAAAATCGTTCTTCTCCTCTAGGACGGTGCCGTTACGAGTGACCAGAGGAGAGTGCCGGACAAGAGGAGGATGATCATCGATGTTGTAGGCCAGGTATTTGGTTTTTGGGCCATTGAGTCCGAGACCTACTTTGTTGCATTCAGTCTCTACTCTAAGGAGGAGTTCCTGGGCTTGTTCCACGGCGTCAGATAGCAGGGCAATGTCGTCTGCGAAGTCCAGGTCAGCTAAGACTTCCTTCGGGTGCCTCCTAGATCTGCGGGGGGTGATGGTAAAGCCCAATTCTTCTTCCTTGCCATCTGCCATCGCTTTCCTCAGGGCGTAGTCCAACACAGTGATGAAGAGGAATGGGGCGAGCGTATCTCCCTGCAGAACTCCAGCAGTAATGTCGAACTGCTCCATCTCTCCATCAGGTGTCATGATTCTCGCCTTGGTGTTAGAGTACATAGCTTCAATTGCTCTGAGCAGGTTGGGTGGAATACCGTATGCCTTCAAGAGCCTCATCATCTTCGCTCGGTGTATTGAGTCGAAGGCTTTCTTGAAATCTATGAAGGTGATGATGGCTGGCAGATTGTTCGCCTTCACTCCCTCAATGATTCTTCTCAGTGTGAGAATCTGAGCCACAGTGAATCTAAAAAGAAACTTGTTTGTGCCAATTTTATGGTGGTGTTGGGCTATGGTAATATTTTGTAGATGCATGCTTTGTTTTAGATTTTACATGTTGTGGACACAGTATATAGTTAGGGTTAGGGTTAGGGTTAGAATTAGGGTTCAAAACTTACTTTAAATCCCCCTCTCATCACTGTTTGTTGTATGACCATGTGGGATGGTCTTCATTGTTTCCACATCAGCACATTCTTGTCTACAAGGTTATTCTTGGCCCTCTACCTTCCTACCTTCAGACCAACATCATTCAGAAGAGTACAGGTCCTTACAGTCTTCGTTCCCATGATCTTTATTTGCTGTCTGACCCAAAGATCAGAACTGAACTGGGAAAAAAGGCCTTTAAGTTTGCTGTTCCCTCTGCCTACAATGGTTTACAAAAAGAGTTCAGACTAGGGCTGTCAAAAGATTAATCTTTTGCCACGAATTGCGAGCTAACTTGACTGTTACGTGTTTGAATGCGGTTAAAATGATTTATCTTTTGACAGTAATAGTTGAAACTTAATGAGTTAATCTTATCGAACACCTTTAAGAGAAAGCTGAAAGACTTGGAGGCAGGCTCATCTGAATACAAATGCTTTCATTAATTCTTAATTCTGGATGATTCTGGTAAATAGCTGCTGTTTGAATTCTTGTGTGTTTGTTGTGGACTACATATATTGTATTTTATTGTATGACTGTTTTTATGTACGTCTAAAACTCTGTTCACTGCTACGGCCTTGGCCAGGGGACTATTAAAAAAGAGATTTTTAATCTCAATGAGGTTTTCTCGCCCTTTTATACTTAAATAAAGGCTAAATAAAAATTACAACAAAAAATGGGAGTTATACCTCAAGGACCGTGTTTGTTCCACTCAGTGGCTTACAGAGAAATACATAGAATCGTTTTAAAAAATATTCAAAAAGTACAATATGACTAGGAAAATGACTTTGCTGTACATATTTACACATGACTTAAAGTGCAGGTGCTGGATAAATCTGCAATATTGCTTGAATGTAAAGAGCATATAGCAGTCAGCATCCATGTCAACCATCAGCATTTGTATATAAAGTCAGCATTTATGTTAACAGTAAGCATTCAAATAAACAGTCAACATTTGTGTTAAAGTTCCCATATTATGCAAATTTCACTTTAGAATGGTTGTCTAACATTAACATGCATCCTCAGCCTGTCTGCAACCCCCCCAAAAATGAGAATATTCTATCCTCTCCCTCTCTTGCTTGCTCCACCTTTCAAAAAAAACGTTCAAACGGGCAGATTGAAACTCTAGCCTTCCAAGAAGTTTGTTCTACCCCCCAAAAATTTCCACTCAGACACTATTTTTCTTCTTCGCAAATGCTGGTTTGAAATGGTGAAGGTATGAGCAAGGCATGGCATTTGCTCATTTTTTGGCTGCACAAAGCAGCACAGAAGTCTGTTTTCACCTCCCTCTTAATCTGAGGTTTTGAATACTTACAATATTGTGCATTCACTAAAAGAGCTCCAAATAACAAGAAGACCGTGGAGATGTAGCCACCAGTAGGAGCTAATGTTACCTAGCTACATGTAAGCCACTGCGTACGAACACACAAACAAAGTAAAAAGAAAAATATCAAGACACATAATATTTGTAACTAACCATTCAGAAATGTCCTAGTGCAGCCACAGTGTTGTAATTTCTTTAGGAGCCTCACCTTTTGGGTCAGACTCTGGATCAAACTGGTACAGCTGGACCACAGTGCTTCTATGAGCCATACCTAGCACTCGGTGTAAACATTAGCACGTGGTACCCTAGTGCAAGCCATGCCCCCTCTTCCAGAGAGACAGGGAGGGGTGTGGCTTGCGCTGAAGGAGGCATGGACAGGCACAACACACAGAAACAGTGGCTGTGTCTCATTTCAGAGACCGCATCGTGATAAGCGCGCTTAACGGCGCTTAGCTGAGTGCACTGCCGCTTTGAGCCGTTTTGTGCCGTTTTGCGCCGTTCTGTGCCCTTCCTGTGTCCCATTTCAGATACAGCAGCCATCGAACGGCGCATCTGACGCGTACGTGAGGTCACCACGCGGCACGAACGGTGTCCCGTTTGGCACAAAATACTAAGCACGCTTCAAATTCGGTCTCAAAACCACACAACCCCCACCTCTTTTTCAAGCATGCATGTATGCACGCTTTCGTGCCGTCGGTATCCCAGAATGCTTTGCGTGCCGCTGCACAGCTGTGCATTTCAGGTGAGAGGCTGGACTCGCTTGGAGACACAGCGCGTCTTCGAAGAAAATACAAGCAATCCAAAAACAGCAGACAGTCAGCTCAGGCTGTATGAGAGCATGATCTCTGAACTCACTAAAATCTGTAAACCAAACATTATAGATTTAGAGACGAACTGATCCGCTGTGTTACAACTATCAAAAACATTAGAAATGAGAAAGCTGACAAAACTACAGCAGAGTATCAGGACAACATTGAGTTTTTTTTTTTCTTTTAAGATTTAGAGATTAAAGTTGTAAATTTAGGAGAATAAACTCATAAAGTATATAAAGTCATAAAGCTGCTTTTGCGGAGGGGGAAATGACTGAAGCTGGTCATCTGCAGGGTTATCTGTGGATGTATCAGCGGGTCATTCAGAGAGATTTTGTGGTTTCTGAAGAAACAATCAAACTGATGATGATCAACATTTGTGATCCAGAGGGAGTCGAGCTCCGACGAGCACCACGTCTCTGACACCGGCCGTAGCCTACACCTGCAGAGAAACCAACACCTTATTACTGCATATGGATTCATATCATAAATTAAAGCTCAATGTCATTCACGGATATTTACGGCTGCATTGACAGATATATCCTCAGCATATTCATTTCTGCCTCCGCAAAAGCAGCGATTTCCTTCAAGTACACCAATTTTTTTCCCCCGTGGAAAAGACGTATTTCTCATATATTCTTTTTAAAGTCTTTATACTTATGACAATGTTATGCTGATGTGCCAGAGGATGAAGAATCTCCTTGTTTGTGAAACCTATACTGAAGCACAGTTCCTTCAAATGCTTCATGGCCCTAATTTTAACAAGTCTCTCTGAAATAACAGGTTGTGACTTCATTCTCATAAATTAATGACTTTATTCTCGTAAATTCACGACTTAAATCTCGAAGTCCTTAAAGTCTTAAATCTCAATATGGCCCTCATACTCCTTCTTACAAAACAATCATTGGATGAATTGTGGTGGTATGTATCTACTATTTTGTGTCTGTGCAAGGTCGCACACTTAAAACAATAAATGCTGCGCTCCGCGGGTTTCCTTTAAGTCAGTCGTGACGTGAGCCTGAGGGCGGGGACATTTGGCAACTCCACCAGGAAGTCCTCCGAAGGTCTCCAAATGTCCCCGCCCTCAGGCTTACGTCACGACTGATTAGAAAAAAAGCTGCGGAGCGCAGCATGTATTGTTTTAATTGTGCAACCTTGCACAGACACAAAATAGTAGATACATACAAGCACAGATCATTCCCACAAAATTCATCCAATGATTGTTTTGTATGAAGGAGTATGAGGGCCCTATTGAGAAGGAGGATAGGAGATACTTCATCCTCTGGCACATCAGCATCACATTGTCATAAGTATAAAGACTTTAAAAAAAGAATATATGAGAAATACGTCTTTTCCACGGGGAAAAAAACTGGTGTACTTGAAGGAAATCGCTGCTTTTGTGGAGGCAGAAATGAATATGCTGAGGATGTATCTGTCAATGCAGCCGTAAATATCCGTGAATGACATTGAGCTTTAATTTATGATATGAATCCATATGCAGTAATAAGGTGTTGGTGTCTCTGCAGGTGTAGGCTACGGCTGGTGTCAGAGACGTGGTGCTCGTCGGAGCTCGACTCCCTCTGGATCACAAATGTTGATCATCATCAGTTTGATTGTTTCTTCAGAAACCACAAAATCTCTCTGAATGACCCGCTGATACATCCACAGATAACCCTGCAGATGACCAGCTTCAGTCATTTCCTCCTCCACAAAAGCAGCTTTATGACTTTATTTACTTTATGACTTTATTCTCCTAAATTTACAACTTTAATCTCTAAATCTTAAAAGAAAAAAACCTCAATGTTGTCCTGATACTCTGCTGTAGTTTTGTCAGCTTTCTTATTTCTAATGTTTTTTATTGTTGAAGCAGAGCGGATCAGTTCGTCTCTAAATCTATAATGTTTGGTTAACAGATTTTAGTGAGTTCAGAGATCATGCTCTCATACAGCCTGAGCTGACTGTCTGCTGTTTTTGGATTGCTTGTAATTTCTTTGAAGACGCACTGCGTCTCCAAGCGAGTCCAGCCTCTCACCTGAAATGCGCAGCTGTGCAGCGGCACGCAAAGCATTCTGGGATACCGACGGCACGAAAGCGTGCATAAATGCACGCTTGAAAACATACTAAGGGCGCTTAGCATTTTTTAGCATCTCGTGCCAAATGGGACACCGTTCGCACCGTCATGACGTCATGCACGCTTCAAATACACCGTTCGACGGTGCAGAAGGGCACTTAGGTCGATGCGGTCTCTGAAATGAGACACAGCCAGTGTGTTCTCGGTAGAGCTCACTTAAGAAAATTTTCAGTCTGGCTGAAGTCCAGGAAAACAAACTGGGTTTTTAGACAACAAACTTCAAACTAGGGCCCCGGTGGGGCACTGTCGGGCCCGAGCCGCGTTGCGCCGCCCCCGGCGCGACCGCCCCCCCCTCCCGATCGCGTCACACTCAAGGTCCAAAGATGGTGTGCGCACTTGTCTGTGGTCATTTCCCATTATAATGAATGGGAGGCGCAGTTTCTACCAAACACTCGCTGCAGACAAACTACATGTCCTATTTGAAGAAAGTCTGGACCAT